GAGACTGTAACTGCGATTCGAAAGAGAAAGAATCCCTCAACGCCCTCTCTTTTATTCTCATTTGTATTAACTCGCATAGAAGCGATGTTAAGGTTTTATTAAACAGCTGTGTAGAAGGGGTAGGTGGAAATTATTTTCTCTGTTAGAACGACTGAGCCACTGTTTACAAGTGGTCTGTGTTCCAATACACTTGAAATAACGCAGCAGAAAAAAATTGTCCGTTTGGATTTTTGAAACTGGAAGTAGGTATGAAAAAATTAAACCAATGCAACAATATTATTAATAATAAAGCTTGGTGGAATTATGTACATTGGTCATTAAACTTTCAGAAAAATATTTAATTATAAAAATCTGTAACAAGTTATGATACTGATGCAAGTAGCTCATATACTAGCAGAATCACACTATTCCTCGATTACAAATTTTGCTTCCTGTTAACCAAAAATATTTAAATTTAAATTTAAATTTGCTGAATATATTTTCTCTGTCTGCTAATCATAACTGCCAATTAAAAACATATGATACAAGTAATCACAAAATTAAGCTGTGAAGATTTTTCAATACAAACAATGTTCAACACAATGCATCAACTGTTTAAGGGTAATGTACCTACTGAAAATTATTGTTGTCTCTTGACTACTTTTTCCTTTCTACCTTCCTGATATCTTTGGTTTCATATTTCTCTGACTTCCATTCATTTTTCTTCCCTTCTCACTGTTATTTAATTAATTTCTTAATTCTGAAGACTGTTCTCTAGTCACATGATTTCAAATAAAACACCTGCATTAGAAAGACGGCAGCAGTCTGACGCTCCACCCTCGCGTCGCACTGCTGTGAACGGTGAGGGGATTCCCACAGCTGCGAATGCCACATCTGTGTTGTTACTCAACTCAAGGACAGTCAGTCCAGATGCATACCCATTTAAAGTTAGTTATCCCCTCATTTTCCTTATTTAGGGGCATATTTAATTATTTTCTTAATTAATAAACTAAGATTCAACTTGGACAGAATAAACAGCGTCGAATATTAGAGTGGTTCATGAATAATGAATTGGAAAGAATATGGAAGAAAGCGATCGTGGCCTAATTTAAAGGTACCCCCTCATTTACGTATAACGGCCGAGAGAAACATCAGATATTGCAAGCCGAATTGCAAAAGCGTTAATTTAACCGATTAACCGGAATCAGTTTGATGTTAGCTTTTCAGCGAGAACATGTAGAGTAGGCCTAAATCTCTGTAGGCACTCCTGTTCAATCACAAATTCAGTTACTATAAAACTCTTACTAAGTTGAGTTAAAGTGGCAGAACAGGATCCATTGATTATGGCCGCTGCCCTTGTAGGGAGTGCCCAGCATGCGGACCACTCAATGAAGAAAGGACGAAGTTTCCGTCGGTCAGCAAACTTCTGGTATCTGACTCGTTCCAACGTTCCAATTCACAAAAATTCAGCGGCCAAAGACGATGGAACGCTGTTAACTAATGCTCAGTTAATTTTGGCAACTTTGCAATAGGTTAGATGGCATTACGGCGGGTAAGGTTAGGTTAGAAAGTTTGGGTTAGGTTACGTTACGTTAGGGTGGGTCAGGTTAAGTTAAGTTAGGCTAAGTAAAGTTAGGTTGCGTTAGTTTCTTAGGTTAGGTATCGTGCTGAAAATATTTGTCACGTTTCGACACACATGGCCACATCTCGTCACGCCGATACATTACGTAACGCCTTGAAACGCTTTGTCATGATTAGTCACGTTTGGTCAGGCTTTCTAAATCTTCGTCAATTTCGACACTTATGGCGATTCATTGACACGACGTGAAAGCAAGCCACGCTTGGGCACGCGTGGTCACTAAGTCAAGTTTTGGCACGCTAAAGTTATGTTACGTAAGCCTAAATTAATTTTAGCTACTTTGCAATACGTTAGATGAAGTTACGGAAAGTTAGGTTAGGTTAGGATAGGTTGGTTTAGGTTATGTTAGGTTGGGTCAGCTTAGGATAAGTTTGTTTAGTGGATTTTGTTAGTATATGTAATATTTTGAAAAAATTTGTGACATTTTGATACTAGTGGCCACAATTCGTCACGCCCTTACAGTACGTCAAGCCTTGTCACGTTTGTCAGGCTTGTTCTCGCTTAGCCACACTTTGACAAACTTTTTAAATCTTCGTTCTATTTTAACACTGATGGTGGCCTCTCGCCACGCCTTTATAGCAGGTGACGCCTAGTCACGCTTTGTCACGCTTGGTCACGTTTAGTGACGATTTGTAAATTTTCGTAACGTTTCGACACGTTTTCTTATCCCTTTTCACGTGAATGCAGGTGACGCTTAGTCACGCTATGTTACGCTTGGGCACGCGTTGTCATTATGTCACGTTTCGTCACTTGTGGCCACATTTCGTCACTGTGTTACAGTAACTCGTGTCTTTTCACTCCTTGTCACGCTTAGACACACTTTTCAAAATCTTCGTCGAATTTTAACACTAATTGTTTCCTGTTGTTGCGTCTTTATTTGTGGTCACGCCTTGTCACGCTGTATCACTTATATATTTAGTATATATAATTTATATAATGGAATGGACAGCAGCAGCGGAAATGATGAATTGAGTAATGTGACAGAACTCGATGGTCTGTGAGCAGTGGAAGAATTGGAAAAGGACCGAATAGTTGTGAAGAAGATAAAATTATCTATTACTCTCTGCAGTGTTAATTTTCTAGTTATGTGTAGTGTAGTGAAATCGACTTTCCTGTGTTTCATACTGTGGTGATATTTTATTTGGGGTGTACTGTACGCTGCCTGCTGCCATCCCTTTCAGCAAACTTCTGGTAAGTGACTCGCTCCTAGGTTCCAATTCACAAAGTTCAGTGGCCAAAAAAGCTGGAACGCAGTATATCAGTAAAATTGTGTTTATTTTGTATAAAATGGAGTTTATCATTAATACTAAATTAAAAATTCTGCGTAATTGATAATCCTTCTGGGAAATTATATTAGCTGTAGCACAAGTACGTTTTCATGAATTATAGTATATAAACTGAAAACATGCACCAAAACACTACTTCTATACCTTCGTTGACATACCGCTTAAACTCACATCAGCTCATACATAGACATATTTCGAAATAACCCGGTCAAGCGCATGGCTTCACGTTTTATTTTGTAACACGGTATATTTTAGGGTAGAAAGTTCTTAGCCACTCTGCACATCACACAAGCTGGAGGGTCATCCCTTGCCAGCTGTTAGTGATTGCTTATTCATTCAGTTACCCTCCACATTTCGAGGCCGTCTTTTCCAGAATGCGATAATATGTATTCAATGACGGCAACTGCCTGTGTGAGGCAGAATGGCTCAATGAGTAAAGGGATCAGATGTGGAAGACCGAAGTTCGATTACAAACGAAGACAGAAATTTATTTCAGTACGATAAATAAGCCTATTTGATTAAAGATAATGGCAAATAACTGTTAACTCTGCATCGATATGTTATGCATATTAGTCTTGCAATAATCATTTTCTGTCTGCAACAAATTAATATCAAGGATAATAAATAAGTCGTATTTGGATTTGGCACGGCGGTGAGTATGAACATGTTGAACTTCTGGTTTATAGCGCCATGTAGACTGATAGAACTTAACCGACGTTTCAGAGCCCCTTGCTTCTTCCATCATGACACTCATTGCCCTGATTATGGGGGCATTATCGACGTTTCAGAGGTCTTTGCTGCCTCCGTCATAGCACTCACTGCCCTAATGATGAAGGCGTTGGTAAACTTTTATCAGACTACAGCCCATCTCAGAACCTGATATCTTTGTTACGACCGTCAACTCATTGCTCTACTTTAGGCAGCCTTTGCCTTGTTATTGTGTTTATCCACTTCGTAAATACGTGAGCCAAATGCAATTAAAATGAACTGGATTTTGAATCAATTATCAGATATCGAAAATTCCATCGCACAAAAGGTTGTTATTGTCGGTGAAATAATGGCGAACTATAGAATCACTTCCTGCTTTTAAATACAACTTGTCAGCAGAGGAAGGAAACACAATGAGTATTTCCCTCTGTCCGTCCGTCCCTCCTGTGTTGTTACACAGTAATTCATTCTGACTGGAGTCAGCAGTGGAATGGCTAAACGCGACATCATGATTACGTGGTTCTCGAAAGGCCTATAACAAACAATAATTCACTAAGCTACATTTATGTTGGACACCGTTTATTGTTTTAGATTTATTTAATATACACAACGTTTTTTGATTTAAATGTTTGCTTACTCCTTTTTTAAATTTTACTGACAAACGTAAACCGGTATAATTCAGTCAGTAAATGTATTAAATTTCACCTGGGGTACATGTGTCTGGTTCCTGGCAGAGCTAGGAATTTTTCCGTTTTCCATCACGTCCATATAGCCCCTTGGTCCCATCCAAACCTACCCGATGGTTAGTGGCGACTCTCCCAGGGAGTAAGGTGGCCAGAATGTCGAAAACCGAATATTTTCCGTAACATTTTATTTCCGAATACTTCTGAATCGTTATCCGCATAGTGTAACAGCCCACTTTCCATATCTGTCGAAAAAACTCGGAAAATTATTCTCAAATATATCTTTATCTTTAATGTTCTTGAAATCAAATGTTATGATACCAATTTTCAAAATAAATTATAGCAAGTGTTTCCATAACATATTATTATAATTTCATAATTAACCTACATTCGTTTATGTTATTCACACATAACATTTGAAAACATGTCGAACGGTTTACGTCATAGATCAATTGATAAAGCGTTGTTTAATAACCTATAAACAAATATTGACCCGACAGTTGAGTTCGCAGCCAATAATAATTTTCCTGGCTTTGATCTTTTTTGTGTCGTTCCAGCATCAGATCCAAAGAATGCGACCTAGTAAATATGTAAATAGGCTACGTAGCCCGCATGAACGATGCGTGCCCTACTTCCGGTCCACGGCAGGTGATCATTGTCATGAGAGTATAGGGGTGCTCCTCCGCAGAGTAGAGCGCAGTTAAGTGAAGTGGCGTTCAGCGCGCGGACCCCAGTCAAAGAAGCGATAGTTCACGATAACATCGACACACGGAACGTAATACTAATTTGTACTCAAATGTAAAGGTAAGGTTGTTCCTGTGCCTGAAAACGTCTACGAGGAATTGAGGTAACGCTCCACGCATAATCTATTCGTTTATTTGTTTGATTTATTTGTCGCTTAATTAACTGCACTGAACAATATCTCACATTACATGGCTTAGAATGGCAGGATATTAATGAATTAGAAAGGATGATGAAGGAAGCGGTCGTGGCCTAGTATGAGATCCTATCCGACAATTTTCCTGGAGGGACTGAGAAAAATAAAAAAATACTCAGTCACTTGGTAAGATCTGAGGTTCTCAGGACATCGAGTATAAAGATAGTTGCCTTCCGGAGTTTTGTGCCGTGTGATCTGTAGAAGTTTACCGACGTTTCTGAGGTGCTTGCTGCATCCACAATGAGGACAGTCACTCATCGCCTTAATTGTTTAAGAATTAAGCACCTCTGAAACGTCTGTAAGCTTTTAGACTTTACGGCGCAACAATCTAGAGGACAGCCATCTTACCCAGTCACTTCCGTTTGAGAATTCCCGTTACTGTCGAACTTCATTTAAACTGGAGTGATACATTTTTCATGTAAGACCCCCACCCATCAATATCGGTCCTAATGCAAATCCGTTCAGTTGTTCCGCAGTTGTTACATGCGAACAGGTGGACGGGAAAAGTGGTTTTAACAGACGCTCCACAGAAATACGAGCGTTGATAAAAATTGGGCATGTGTACTCGTATATGAAATAAACTGAGTTGGCACAACATATGGACTAGTGATGGGAGTTTGTGAAAATATCACTGAATTTTTGGGTTCCGTAAAAACACGTTGTTTCTTGATGGGCTATTTTTTCTGTTTGATAGGTTATAACAACTTCGAATTTCCATACGAAAATGTTCTGCTTCCTGGGATTACGTAATAAACAAGGGTTACTGCAGTGGAATCACAACGCGATGATCGGGTGGGCTACATCAGAATGTATTTGCACGGTGGACATTTTGGAACTCTTTGCCAATACATCACACATTTGAATGTTCCCTGCTTCCTACATCTTGGGTTCTCAACGTTATAAGATCTGGGATTAAATTCAACCTCTCTTATTGACTCGAGGACCAACGTTTACAAATCGCGACATTTTTTTTAAATCTCATGACAGTTTATCCAAAAATTCGACAAACTCGCCATCAAAAACATTTTCGCATATTACGTATCTACTTTTCAATTTTATTTTAAAAATTCGTCGATTGGTTATTTTTGTTAATTACTCGCTTAAAATTAAATATTTGATGTATACAGTTTTAATTTTTTATCATGTAAAAATGTTACAGTTTTACATAAATGTATGCGGACTACACAAAATGCATCTAAATTATGCCCTCCAACTTTCTATAAAATTCTTTAGTTATTCATTTGCTCAAGAAATTCCCTGCTTTTATAAGAAGCAGAAATTTCATATCCGTGATCGCAGGAGTTCGCTATTGGACTTTTAATTTCAGTTCTCAACTTCCTTAAACACTATCGTCCCATTTCCCATATAGAATTTTTAAGCAAAGTTCTTTATTTTTTCTCATTTCTTACACGTGAGCTACATGTCCCGCCAATCCCTGACTTAATCAGGCTAATAATATTAGATAAAGAGTGAAAATTATGAAGCCCATCACTACGCATCTTACTTAGGCCTAATTATGGCCGTCAGCACTTCGTATCGATGATGTAAAGTACCGAAATTTGCATATGTATTACGTAGTCGTACTGATTATTTTTCGCTGTCTCCTTTTTACCGGGAAGTAAACGCTGAATATCCCAGCATTATGATGTGTCACCAAAATTACATCACGCGAAAGCACCGTCAGTTCCGATCAGAGTAGACTGCACAAACCTTCTTATACTCTGGCGGTGCTGTCAATGTGGTGAACACCCATGTATATTTTTTATACTTTCTTTAAATCACAGTCAACGACTGCAGCCAATCTTCATAACTACCTAGCAAATTTAGACAAAATATGCTGATGAACTTCATTACAAATGTCAACCGGATATAATATTGATTCGTATTGATCTAGTATGGTCATTACATTATGCGAAGTTTAAGATCGAGCCTCGTTTCTTCAAAATACGTCTCATCATACATTTAAAGTGTATATGATATACGAAATGGATATTATTATCAACATCTGTAATATTTATTTGAAACATATTTATTTTTTAAAGCTACACGCCTATGTAGGCACTTGGGGGGGGGAGGTATAACTCCTACTCATTTTTGACCTCAGCACTAGATGGGGGTGAGTGGTCAGCATCACGCCCCGGCCGGCTTTACCCCCGGTCAGCATTACGTTTAATTCATCAACCAATGCCAAAAACCTTTATATAACCTACTCTTTCATTTAATTTATATTTCGGCAATATGGATTTATTTAGAACTGCTGAACATTTTGGGATCACAATTTAATTATTGTGCTCGGTGTAAACCCGGTGTTCCGTTTAGAAAGAAATAAAGGTAGGTTGGCCTGGAAAGAGATACTTTACACAGAAGAGCTGCATTTAGCTGATCGTGACGTCACGTTACATGCCAAGTGTTTCCAGACGCTGACTGGGAGTGAGACTACAACTCCTGTGGTTCCGTTGGATTGTCAATTCGGGACTGTCACGCTTGCAGAGGGCAGCATCGCCAGCGAAACTTTGTTACATTATGCCCCACCCCCATCACCCTGTGCAGTTTCTGCAACCCGTCCCATTCCGTTAGCGCACGATAGGGAGACAGACACAAGAAGACACCCTTTCAACACTGGTTTTAAACTGCACTGCGTAGCCAAAGTAAGGTTTAAATTCATATATAATATTTTGTAAAGTTGAAATATGGGCAAACACCTTGGCGTGGTGGTGACAATTCTAGAAAACTGATAGCGATTCTATAAGTAATTCAAAATGTATTTGGCTGTGGACTCGACTGCACAACTTGGATTGTAATCCGCAACAGAAATCTCTGTTAAATATTTTTAGAAAGTCTTGGTCAGTATTCCCGCCGAACACTTTTAAGTGCATCTGTTGCTTGCTTTCGCTAATGAAAGTGTTTCTGTTATGAACTAACCACATCAGTTCAATAATTCCAGAAGTATTGCATCATTATGCCTCTTCATCGTTGGTTGATGTTACAACTCACGATGTGCACAGCCCACACATTAGTTGAGGATTATCCTTCATCATAACATCTGCGTACGCGATATTCGGCGGACGTCATTGATAATGTTGAACAGAAATGACAATGAAACACGAAGCCGAGTTCCCATCGGATATGGAAAAGCTCTCTCACACATTTCTATTCAATGGCGAAAACAGTACAGGCTGCCCCAAAAATACACATTCATATTAACCTTTTTATCGGTCTCCGTGTATTGTGTTCACTGAAACCATGAAAGGCGGTCATTTTGAACAACTACACTAATTTCCTAATTTACTAAATGACAGTGAAGTTGTATGTAATGGTTTAGTTTATTAAAATGTCTATTCTATTTATTAGAGTGTATATATATTTTTGGAACACTATAGATTTATGTAGCCTACAATGTGTGTGTGTATATTATTGTATTATATCGGTAAGTGGACTCGAACTTATGAGAATATTGATAGCAAAGTGAGGGAGTGTTGGATAATATAATTTATCAATTACACATCTCTTGATATTTCTTACGTCTTAAATATAGTCGTATAAATTGATACATTTATTTTGACTTAACTGATTGGACTTTCTCATATTCAAAATTAGGATCAAACAAAATTAAAATAGAAAATAATTTTACTGGAGAGTCCAAAAATCTCAGGTCACTAAAAATCGGTATTTTATGTTATATATAACATTTAAATTGTGGGTATGTAAGGATAAACCAATTTTACCAAAACTTGGCATGCTTATTTCTTGAAATCAGTAAGACATTATAGAAAGGCCAAAACACCGAAAAAGTGTCCCAGTGAGGGCGGGATTTGTAACACGGAAACAGAACGATAGAAGAACAGTGACAAGACCGAAGTTGTCAGTTTCAGCGAGGGTTTACAGAATCTGAGGTCACAAACGCAAAAGCTATTCTGAGTTCGGGTCCCAGTGAAGGTATTGGGTTTAGGGATATTTATTTTTCCTTTGATATTCAACGAAAGGTATCAGGCTTGTCATAAACTTTCGGCCAACAAAGATTGGTAAGAAATGTAAGAATTTGTCGAATTTCCCCGCGGTAACACGAGCGTAATACAATTGCAGTGTACTCTGGCTTGTGATTTACTTCATAAATAAACGGAGTAAACATTTCCCAATATTTTTTTATTCAGAAATACCTTTGCTAAACAGAAAACAGTCTGAACAGAAGTGTCTGTCTTCTTTGGAATTCTCTAACAGAAGCTTTTAGTGTGTGAGGAAGACGAGCGTACGGCAGTGGAACCTTCTCTGCGTGACACTGTCTATTCCGCTTTCCATGTCCTCGCCCTAAGAGTGGGGAGAGTTTCACGGGGAGATGATTATGTCGTCACAATGGTCCGACCCAGCACATCAACAATCACATCCGGTTCGGACACTGCTATTGTCCAGTTTCCGGAAACGCGGAAGGTCATGCTGTTGCCATGCTTCTACAGAATGCAATACCAGACTCACTGCGGACAGACCTTCTAGGCGATCTAGGTCGCGTCCACTGCGAACACGCGATGGAGATGCCATGCACGGTAGAAACTTTTCTCTCCCTTCAACTGTGTTCATGATGTTTTAGTTTCCCCCCCTCCTCCTACTATTTAGGATCTGTGCTAAAAATTTCTTTGTAATGATTATAGTGGCAGTATATCCGCTAGATAGCAGTTCGCTCGTTTGTGAATAAGGAAGTACTCAAGCAAGGGTTAATGAATACATCTTACGTTCAATAGATACACTTAAGTTTTACATTACCGATTATTTAGATCAGCTAGGAGCATTCAGAATCAAAAAGTTGCAAGAATACTTGTGTTATTCCGGCACGGATTACATATAACTTCTAGCGTAGCTGGTGTTACTCTTGACGGCTCTAGCCTCAGTCCTTCACCATTAGGCCTAGTGACACGCAC